GAGAAATAGCGATAACAAACGTTCACTATCAAAATCCAAGATGGCTACCTGTCGGCCATGTTGTTTATCCGATCAGTCTCAAAAGTTGCCCTGCACAGCTAAGGACCAAGGGGAACCTGCATATAAAATTTGAGAAAGATCCCTCTGGTACTTCTTGAGAAATACCGATAACAAGAATAGTTTACGGACGGACGATGGACGGCGGACGACGGACAACGGACGGACGACCGACCACGGACGCAGGGTGATTTGAATAGCCCACCATCAGATGATGGTGGGCTTAAAATATCTTTACCACTATAATGCCGAACGTTATCATTATTTCAATATAAATACAATTTGTATTTGCATGCATTTAAAGGGACTATTGCCGTGTATTTCATACTCTGGAAACAGAGAATCAGAGCTATAAATGATGAAATATACTTAAAATAAAAAGCTATGCGTGGCCGGTATTTGTATACAACGCCATGTTCGTATACCTTCAAAATCTTGAAAATCTTGAAAATCTATACCTCCAAGATTATTAAATTATGTTTGCAGACACTTTCAATAAGTGTTATTAAGAAAAAGAGTATTTTTTTGGCATATTTCTTAAAATGTAGTTTTATGATATTTTCGACAGTAATATTTATCATTATAGTTCATTTAACAGAATGTTATACAGTCGAACCTCGTTATCTCGAATTCGTCGGGATCGTTGGAAAACCTCGAGTTATCCGAGTACTAATATGTCTATCCTTTGTACTTGTTTGTTTGGAGTTCAACATTATTGTAACACCTAGCATCATATGTCTATCCTTTCGTGCCGGATTGTTCGGGGTGTAACCTCCTCGTAACTTAATGCAGTACTGAACTGAACACTGTCGACAAGAATGAGTAGGTAAGAGAAAGGGAAACACAAAGATATCATCCTAATGTACATGAACTGAAAAGGTCGACAGAGATGTCCCAGTGGCGGAACCAGAGACATACCTGGGGGGGTTTCCAAATTTCCTGGGGGGGTTTCGTTGTGGGGAAAAATTGAGGAAAATGGTGAAAATACATGATTTTTAAAGAAAATTCTCAGGGGGG